TTTCCGCTAAGTTTGACGAATTTGTATGCACAGTGCAACTTCTTAAACCGGACATTATCTGTATTGCCGAATCCTGGCTCAAACCCACAATTCCAGACTCTTCTGTTAATATAAATGGATATACAATATATCGTAAAGACAGAGAAAATCGTGTGGGTGGCGGTGTATGCATTTATTTATCCAATATTATTACCACAACTTTCAAAATTAACCTCAAGCTAATAGATATTACTGGAATAGATGCAATTCACTTATCTGTTACTAAAAATTCTTTTTGCCTTAATCTAGTATGTATATATCGTCCACCTAATACACTACTTGCACACGATAATGTTTTCTTCACAAAACTTGAAGAACTATCATCTCTTGATAATCTCATCATTACTGGAGATTTTAATTTCCCAGAGATCACCTGGCCAATAACTTCATTATCTGACGCCGAAAACGCTCATAATTTATTTAAAAGCTTTGTAGTAAATTCAAACCTAATACAACTCATTACAGAACCTACTAGATTTAGGAATAATAACCAACCTTCTACTTTAGATCTAGTGCTTATTAATGACGAACAGCTGATTTCATCTCTCGAAGTCAGTTCTCCCATAGGAAAGTCAGATCATGCAGTTACAACGGCTCACATCCAGTTCAATCAAATATTACCCCGCAAAAATAACATTGTAACATATGCTACTACCGACTTTTCTGAAGTTGACACTGAACTCTCTCAAATCGACTGGCATTTATTTTTTGCAGACTTAAACGACCCCTCATTAATGTGGACTGCATTTCTCGATAAAGTCCACAATATAATTTCTACAAATACTATTTTCCGTAAGAGTTATAAAAACAACCTCAAACCCTGGATAAATCGAACAGCAATTAAACAAATCAATCACAAACGACATCTATGGCGAAAATTTATACACACCGGGCTTCTTAGTGACTTCCAAAGCCACCGCAGATTTTCAAATAACTTAAAAACATCTCTAAAAACCCTAAGACAAAATTTTGAAGCAAACGTTATTGAAAGTGGTAACATTAAAAAAGTCTATAAATACATACGTTCCTCCATGACATCTAAAGTTTCCATTCCGCTACTTCAAAAATCCAACCAGACTTTATGCTCTTCTGACAAAGAATCTTCCGAAACTCTCTCTTTAGCATTTTCACAGGTATTTACTAAAGAATTAAATGATGGTAATCTACCTGCTGTTAACTGTAATCGTGTCGGCGCATCCTTACAGCAAGTCGAATTCACAGTGGATCATGTCAAACAACACTTAATTAAACTTCGCACGGCCGCTTCACCTGGTTTAGATGGTTTAACACCAAAACTGTTAAAAAGGTGCGCAGACACGCTTGCAATACCCTTAACGTTAATTATGCAAACCTCTTTCATCCAAAACTCCTTACCCCCTAGTTGGAAATTAGCTTCCGTTACCCCTATTTTTAAAAAAGGCAACAAACTCGACCCCAACAATTATCGTCCGATTAGCTTGCTGCCAGTAGTTGCCAAAGTTATGGAAGCCATTATTTCCGAGGAGATGACCAAATTCCTTCTCCAGGAACATGTTATTCCAACACAACAACATGGATTTGTCTCTGGTCGCTCTACTCTAACTAATCCCCTACACTGTGTTAACGACTGGACCTCATCCCTTAACAGTTCGCAGCCGGTCGACGTTGTTTATCTAGATTTTTCTAAAGCCTTTGACCGTGTACCTAAGCGCAGACTTCTACATAAGCTAGAACATTTCGGAGTTCGCGGTACTTTACTTCGTTGGATAGATGATTTCCTGACAGATCGATATTACAAAGTTAGAGTTGGCGAATCTTTCTCACAGGACAGGTTAGTGGAAAGTGGAGTGCCTCAGGGTTCTGTCCTTGGACCTCTGCTTTTTACGGTTTACACCAGCGATATTCCTTATTATGTCTCAAGTAAAATATCGTTTTACGCTGACGACACAAAAATATATGCCAATCCAAACACAAACCAGCTAACCCTCCAAATGGACTTGGACTCTATTTTAACTTGGTGTTCCCAGTGGTTACTACCCTTAAACGCGGAAAAATGTGTAGTGCTTCGAATTGGCAAAAATAACCCACTTGTGCCGTACTTTGTTAACGGGCAGCCATTAGAATCTGTGTTTTCGTATAACGATCTTGGTGTTATTGTGAACAGCAGCCTAACTTGGTCCGATCATATTACCTCTATTTGTAAACGTGCAAACTCCAGACTGTATCTTATTCGGAGGTGTTTTTCGGGAGTTTCAATGCAATTATTTTGCAAACTTTACACTTTGTACGTAAGACCCATACTTGAATACGCTGGACCAACGTGGTATCCCGATCTGGTTCGAGACAAGACTCTGTTGGAAAATGTCCAAAGAAAAGCCACTCGAATTTCTTTGGGACAGAGAAGACCGTCTTATACAGAAAGACTTAGTATGGCAAACCTCACTACGTTTGAACTTCGCCGACAACGTGGAGACTTAATTACAACATTCAAAATACTAAAATTCAATTTTGGAAACCTCGAGGAAATATTTATCATAAACCAAGATGAACGCCTCAGAGGTCATCAATATAAACTAAAGAAAGAAAATTTTTCTATAAGACAAAGACAGAACTTTCTTCCAAATAGAGTTTTTGAGTGCTGGAATAACCTCAACGACAACATTGTCTCCGCTTCCTCTACCAACTCGTTCAAAAACAGACTCGACAGTTTTATATTATAGTTAAAATATTGTTTTTCTTTTAAACCAAAAATTGTAATTTTATTTCTTTTAGTTGTAATTTTTGTTATTTACTAGTAGGTGATTAATGAAATTTCTTTGTTTTTGGGCATAATAGGGACTTAGTTCCTCTGCCCTCGCTTATATAATAATAATAATAATAATAATAATAATTTCTCTTTTCCATTTTCATCGAAAATGGAAAAGACCTAAGTATTCAAAATTGTCCACCATTTTAAAACTATAGCTTTTACCGCTTACAGAGCTCACACTAAAGTCTTCTTTTTTCCCTTCTGTTCCTCCCATGATCATATATTTGGTTTTGTTTTCATTTAGTTCCAATGAGAATGTTTGTGCTTCTTCGATGATTTTCTTCACAACTCTTCTTAATTCTTTCTCTGTTTTTGCTAGGATCGTTAAATCGTTAGCAAATGCCAAGCACTGGTGCTCATTTTTCATGATTGTTTCTTCCACCTTCATGTTGCTTTTTTTTATTACAGTTTCTAACACTAAGTTAAAGAATGTAGTGGATAAAGGATCTCCTTGTCTCAAGCCTTTTGCAACCATAAATTGATCTATGTGACCCTGCCAAGCAATTTCACACTTCTTCTTCTTAATGTGCCATATTAAGTTTCCTTGACGTTGGCGATTAACATGGCGAAACTGTCACTGTCTCGAGCTATTCTAAATAGTTGCTCAGCTTTTTTATTTTACACTTAGAGTTGTCATTTTTACTAGCCGGATCATTTTCTTTGGTATACCCAAATGTTCCATTGCTCGATACATTTTGACTCAAAACATGCAGGGGAACTTTACCTTTATAACAAGTCGTTTGTATCTCCTTAAATAAAAAGATTTAATCTACAGTAGATCTCTCCTTTCTAAAGCCGGCCTGATACTCATGCAGGATTCTTTCCGTGTAGCAATTTAGTTTATTTCTCAATATTCTTGCTAAGATTTTGTATACCGTGTGTAGTAAGGCTATACCTCTATAGTTGTCACACTTTAGTTTGTCTCCTTTTTTATGCAGAGGGGATACGCAGGCTTCATACTATTCCAATGGCATTATGTTCTTTTCACATACTTGCACTAGTAGCTGATATATTTTTCTTTGTAGTTGTTCTCCACCAAACTTGATCATTTCTATGCATATGTCCTTTTTACCAGGACTTCTGTTATTTTTCATTTCTTGTATTGCTGTCACCACCTCCTCCTCTGCAGGGTGCCTTTCAACTATCGCATCTTCTCCAACCGTCCAGTTGTGTACTGCTTCGTGGTCCACCTCATTATTTAATAGTTCTTCAAAATGTTTTTTTCATTCCGTCATTATTTCTGCCGGATCGCTAATTAAATTTTCGTCTTTACCTTTTATATAACTACAGTGGCTATGGTAACATTTTCCCATCTTTTTAACTTCTTGATATAACGACCTCACCTCTTTGCTTTTAAACTTCTCTTCTATCTCTTTTAATTTCAACTTATTTTGGTATCTCTTTTTCCTTCTGCACAGAGCTTTTAATCTTCCTCGAATTACTCTATATTCTTGTTTTTTACACTCTCTATTATCTGTTGCTATTTGTTGTCTGATCTTTTTCTTTTCCTTTGCTATCGCCTGACACTCTTCGTCAAACCAATCTTTGTTTGTACTTTTCTTGGAGTCGCACTTAACTATTTTCTCGCTAGCTTCTCCTACAGCAGATTTAATTTGTTTCCGGGATTGATCTGTTTATAAAGTTTGATCACATTGTTGTATAATTTTATTTATTTCTTCTTCACATTTATTTTTTATTTCTCCTTCCTTAAGTTTTCCAATATTGTACTTTCCCTTCGTTTTATTGTTCGATTTCTCTTTTTCTTCCAGCCTCCTCTCACATGTGACTTTAACGAGGCAATGGTCCGAGTCGATTTCAGCTCCTCATATATTTACTTTCTATCATAACATGATATATTTGATTCATCGTCCTTCTATCTGGGGAGACCCACGTACCTTTGTATATCTCTTTCCGTTTTAGTTGTGTGCTTCTAACCACTATATTTTTCTCCATGGCAAATCCAATAAGTCTTCGACCATTATCGGTTGTTACTTCGTGTTTACTACAATTACCAGTTACTGCAGTGTACAGAGGTTCTTTTCCCACTTTAGCATTACAGTTTCAAGCAAACTGATGTATGTAAAAAGATTCAGAGGATTTCTACTGTTTTTACCGTCATATCCTGGACTATTCCATAAAAAGCACAATTGTCTAAAATATTTTCTTTCAAATCTGTTTTCGGTTTATTTTTAATCTTTTTATGATTAGAACCGTTTTGAATTTAGAATTATATTTTATTTTCAGGTATCAGCTGCAGAACCTGTTAATCTAAAACTTACAAAGCTTTTAGATGTCAAGGTAGAAAGTAAGACTAACTCGTGGAAAAATGACTTGGGAAGACTTCTTTATCCGCAAAATGAGGACGTTGATCTAGGTAAAACTAAAATTCGATGTTAATTTTAAACTAAAACTATTATATTTTATTGATTACGTATATAAAACTATACTTCTTGTTCGTATGGTGCCTATCCGTTACGGATGTTGGACACTAACATGCCTATTCTGACTTTGTTGACTGCTGCCCTGAAAAGTCCGGTAGTGGTTAAGTTAAATCATTTTCGCAGTTTATGCAACCAGGATATTCTTCTCCATCCTCGACCTCTTTTCCCATGCACTTTACTTTACATCACATTAGTCTGTGACTCAGATGGCACTACTTTACTTTGAAGTATGGTACGAATTGAACATTCCAATTTTAAAGTGTTTTTAATATAAGATGTCCTCATTTTGTATTATAAGCTTTTCTTGTGTAAAAAATACGGTTTTTGATTGTGCAGAAAAGATTAAGTTAAGATTAACAAATATAAGCATTATAGTTTATTCGTCTTCCGGGTTTGGACCGTGTCATTTGTGAGTGACATAAAAGTGGGTTCATCTCGACGTTTCGCTACAATTGTATGTAGCTTCTTCAGGAGAACAAAGAAAAAGAAAACAAAAGACAGGAAGATGGGTAGTTAGCAACGGTAACTCAGTTACTCAACGCAACCAGAGGCGAATACTAACTACCAAGATGGGCATTTGGTCACAGTAACTCAACTACTCAACGCAGCCAGAGGTGAAAACCAAATGCCAAGACAGGGATTCACGTCCAACAGCTCAGAACACTAACGCGTCGAGAGGAGGGGAGTGAATCCGACGATTACTCCGCTACCGCTCTATTTATAGTCGCGGTGACCTGTCGTGTCGGGACGTATCGGCACACTCCGTGGCGCGAACGTCAAGAAGCGCGCGCTGGCCAATCATGTGGCTGCATCGTGGTAGCGGGACCAGACGGCGGCTCTAGACTGAGATTCCAGATGGGAAACAAGTAGTATCCTTCCTCTCGATTGATATTATGTGGATTTTTTCGGATCTCTAGAGATTCGCTGATTTTCCTGGAATAAAAGAAGGGGGTCTTAGAAATAATATGGGATTTTTCGAACAATATGGAATGACCGGTTTCTTGGCAGTGTTCTGCAACTGCAGAATGGGAGAAAAGACCTGATCGAATGCATCTTTGATGCTCTTGAATCCGAGTTTTGACGGAACGATCAGTTTCGCCTATATACACATGTCCACATGAACAAGGAATAGAATAGACACCACAGAAAGATAGGGGCGGTAATTTGTCCTTAGGAGAGGGTAGATATTGTGAGATTTTCTTGGTTGGTCGAAAAGTAGTCCTGATACCTTCTTTGCGAAGAATTTTGCCAATCCTATTAGTGACATTTCGAATATATGGAAGAAAAGCCACAAGAGTATTACCCGAAGATACTGAGAATCGTTACCTACATGCTTCATCACACCACCATCCTGCCCAAAAGAATTCTGTGATCAACTCTCTCATCCATCGAACCATTTCGATTTTTGAACCCGACAACCTTAGAGAAGAACTTGGCCATCTGCAAAAAACCCTTGTCGCCAACGGTTACTCCAAGTCCACAATTCAAAATATTACACACCGACATCTACATCCCCCTTTACACCCTAGGACCACAAATTCAGAATCTTCGGGTAATACTCCTGTGGCTTTTCTTCCGTATATTCGAAATGTCACTGATAGGATTGGCAAAATTCTTCGCAAAGAAGGTATCAGGACTACTTTTTGACCACCCAAGAAAATCTCACAATATCTACCCTCTCCTAAGGACCTATTACCGCCCCTATCTTCCTGTGGTGTCTATTCTATTCCTTGTTCATGTGGACATGTGTATATTGGCGAAACTGGTCGTTCCGTCAAAACTCGGATTCAAGAGCATCAAAGATGCATTCGATCAGGTCTTTTCTCCCATTCTGCAATTGCAGAACACTGCCAAGAAACCGGTCATTCCATATTGTTCGAAAAAACCCATATTATTTCTAAGACCCCCTTCTTTTATTCCAGGAAAATCCGCGAATCTCTAGAGATCCGAAAAAATCCACATAATATCAATCGAGAGGAAGGATACTACTTGTCTCCCATCTGGAATCTCAGTCTAGAGCCGCCGTCCGGTCCCGCTACCACGATGCAGCCACATGATTGGCCAGCGCGCGCTTCTTGACGTTCGCGCCACGGAGTGTGCCGATACGTCCCGACACGACAGGTCACCGCGACTATTAATAGAGCGGTAGCGGAGTAATCGTCGGATTCACTCCCCGCCTCTCGACGCGTTAGTGTTCTGAGCTGTTGGACGTAAATCCCTGTCTTGGCATTTGGTTTTCACCTCTGGCTGCGTTGAGTAGTTGAGTTACTGTGACCAAATGCCCATCTTGGTAGTTAGTATTCGCCTCTGGTTGCGTTGAGTAACTGAGTTACCGTTGCTAACTACCCATCTTCCTGTCTTTTGTTTTCTTTTTCTTTGTTCTCCTGAAGAAGCTACATACAATTGTAGCGAAACGCCGAGATGAACCCACTTTTGGGTCACTCACAAATGACACGGTCCAAACCCGGAAGACGAATAAACTATAATTCTGACTCTGGCCGTGGAAGCCTACGATTTCAAATATAAGCATTAATCTTAGATATTTGCCAAATATTGCACATAATGTTGTTCAGTGTGTCTACTTGTTGACAAAACTAGTTGCGCTAGTTTTCTTGCTATTTAATTTTATCTTATGCTTGTAGGTAACAAAGAAGAGTACGTACAGGTTCCCATGAAGTTTTCATTCGCATTCGATAGATTAAATGCTTTACAGGAATATGAAAGTACTTTTAAAAATGTATTTAATCAGTGCAAATATCTGGTTGGAAAAAGTCAAATACCGTTTTGTCTCTTAAATCCAGTAAGAACATTGTCCGAAGCTGAACACGTATATCCAAGGAGCTGCAGAGAAATCTTAGAAAGCGGTGAGAAAATAAAAATATTTAGAGTTTAACTAAATATATTATATTTACCACAATATATTATTTTTTGAGTAAATGGCGAAGAAAATTATTTTTGGGTTGTGTAAAATAGTTAATTCCTAGCTGAGCGATTTCGGCTTACAAAACCATTCTCAGAGCTACTCTATATTAAAAAAAATAATATAAGTAAATAATTTAAGTGTTACAATGTTTAACTTACGCTTAATTTATAAAGTGCCAGTACTAAAGTTGGATATTATTGGTGAAAATTACAAAATTTTGTTTAAAAGTTAAAAATTGTTCAAAACAACATTCAGAAGACAACACATTAGACTTCACAAAAAAACACCTTAATGGAGATTATGTTGAAATGGTATGGCAAATTTTACTCAAACTGAATGTTATTATGTTTTCGTTATATTAATATTAGTACAAATTTATTAAAGTGATGTATATCTAGAGAAAACAAATGTAATTTTAGGTAAGAATAAGTCAGGTGTGTACACAATCAAACCTAGAACAAGCAACAAGCCGTTTGCTGTTTTATGTGATATGGAAACAAAAGGGGGTGGCTGGACTCATATTCAGAAGAGGTTTGATGGATCTCAAGATTTTTATCTTCCTTGGAGAGATTATAAATTCGGTTTTGGTGATCTATTGGGTGAATTTTGGATTGGATTGGAAAATATTCACCACATGACAGGTAATACAATGTTAGCAAGTAATTGCACTGTAACTGTTAAAGTGTAAGGTTGCCAAAAGCAGGTTCTTTTCTTTGCTAAATAGGTGTGGAGTGAACTAAGTAGTTTCACACTGAATACAGTCTTAGATTTATGCGTGCTTAATCCCTGATAAAAGAAGAGATTTAAAGGAGTAACACCTCTATAAAAACCAGTATTCAGTAGGCACGAGCAATCATCATCTTAGTCATTAACATCTTGGCAGATATATTGCGGTTTATCATTAACCATCAGCAGCTCGGATAGTCTGAATAATGATGTATATTTCTCGAGTAGTGGCAGTGTAGTTACATGTACTTACTCAGTATACTGCTTGTTAAGAATCTTTTTCGTAATAAGTGACCATCTTTGTGAAGATTTGGCATATTGACGTTGACTCTGAGGCCTTCTTTGGACTACCAACCGCTCTATTATGTGATCACTTCGATGGATATTACTAAAAAACTTTAAAATTGTAAACGGCCCATGGAATTCGAAGCAGTAGTCTCATGTCCACATTTCAAAAGCGTCTATGCGTCATTTATCTAATTCTTTGACTAACGATATCTCGCATGCATTGTACACTTGACTTGAAAAATGAACTAGATTTTAAACAAATATCTTCTTGTTTTTAATAGTAATGTAACGATCACGCCAGACCCCGTTTAGTTCAGTTATTGCTGCTTGTGCTAGTTGTACGCGCCTTTAAATTTTGGGTTCACAACTGTCTGTGTTGTTAACTAGAGCTACAATATATATTATAGAGAATATATAGAGAATAATAGTTGGGGTTTCAGCAAACTGTTATTGGCGATCAATAACCATAATTTTTGTTTTGTTGTGGTTTATTTTAAGTCCAAATTTAGCACTTTTTACCTCGAGTTTTTTTTTAATAAGTTAGTAATGTTTTTTTGGAGTAGAGGCTAGAAGTCTAGCGTCAACAGTTTTTTCAGAGCGAATTTTACTTTGGAAAAAAGTACGTCAGGGTCAGATTCAAAGTTAGTGTAATCACTCTCTTTTGTAATTTTCACATTACTGGAGATCGTTATTTTTCCTATATTTCTAACATTTTTTCTTTATTGGTCTGTCTTTTGAGCTGCTCTGAAAGATTCGCAGAGTGAGTTTACAGCTGAAGTTTTAATTTGGTCGGACCATCTAGTTGGCGATTATCTTCTTGATCTTCTTCTCTGAACGTTTCCAGAAACAACTAACCTCTTTAATGTATCGTAACCTCTGCAAATCACGTGACCAACAAACTGCAGAATATGTTATAGACATACTGTGGACAGCTTTTTTTTAATCTCAAGTTGCTTTAGAATAAAAACGTTGCAAATGCAAACGAAACGAATGCGCAGTATTTTTCTCCAGCACCACATCTCCAACGCATCATTTTTTGGCGCTTGCCTCCGCCAAGATTTCAAGTCTCTGCTTCGTATAAAAATATTGGCAATGCAAGGGCATTCACCAGTCTCATCTTGATATTTTGAGAGATTGATCTGTCTTTCCAAACTTACGTTAGGCGACTCTTCGCATTTTTTGCCATACCAATACGTCTTCAAACTTTTACTTTACAGTTACCATGGTTAGTTACAGCAGACCCGAGATAGACAAAACTGTCCACTATCTGGTATTCCTGTAACATGTTAGTCAGTTGAATAGTGAGGAATCTGTCGATCACCATTATTTCTGTCTTAGCTTTATTGATTTTCAGATTAATTTTATTGCTTTCTTACTCAACTCTTTACAGGACATAAAACATTGCTTGCTTATTTGCTGCTATAAGTGTAGTGTCATCAGTTAATCTTAAATTGGAGATTTTCCTACTAGCCACTGTTACTTCACCGGCTCATCCATTTAAAACCATTCTGATGACATGTTCAACATAAATGTTTAGTAAGTCAGGTGACAACGCTCATTATTGTATAACACGTCTTTCGGTATTGCATTTGTTCGAAAACTTCTGATCTAGTCGTACTTTTGCTATATTGGACTGGTACAGATTTATATTAAGTGTCGCCAGGTGCATTGCTGTGTCCATTTCTGTTAAAATGGACTATAGATTCATCTAGCTTACACAATCAAATTTCTTTTGGGAGTTACCGAAGTATATAATCATAGGTACTTGAAATTCTCTAGACTTTTTAATAAGTTGCCTTAGGTTCAGGATTTGTGCCCGTGTATCTCTACCGTTTACAAATCCTGCTAATGTCTGATGTATTAGGTAATATAAATAGGTTTTTAAGTTGTTTTTGATGATATAGCATGTGTTATTAGTGACAGTGTGCGGTAGTTTTCACGTCTGGTAGTAGTTCTTTTTTTGTGTAGCGGGATATAAATTATCATTCGTCATAATATCATTCGGTCATTTTATTAATTTCCAAATAGCGACACAGATAGAATGGAAGATATCCTTTCTTACCTAGCAACTGTAGTATTGCACCTGGTAATAAATCCATGAATAAGGATTTATTTTTCTTTAGCGATTTAATTGCATTTAATTGACTTCTGGGAGTCAGACAGTAGGTTCTCTAGGGTAGTGATAGGGTAATTTTCTGCTGGTACCTCGTTATTTTTATATAGCTCGCCACAGTAGTTTCGCGATGTTTCCAATTTTTTGTCAATATTTTCGCTAGTGTAATGCGTCCCTGTTAAAATAGAATAGAATGTGAAGACCTGACATTCAGGTACATATGTTGTGTCCGCAGACATCTGATCCATATCGGCGAATAAAGATTTACAATATGCCCCCCAAATATCTATACCCTTGTCCAAATCCGTTTATATATTGCTTTTATCATTTTTGATAGACCAAAATTTCTGCTTGAATTTACGCGTGAGTTATCTTACTTTAGTTAAGAGTTTCTTAGTGTTATTTATGTCAGCAAATTGTTGAATCCCACTGCAGATCTTCTTTACATACTTGTTCTTCTTTCGTCTCCAAGCAGTCTGGATAGCTCTAGATAGCAGTCGGTACTTAAAATTCCTAAAAAAAATTTTAATAATAAAATTTCAATAGTAAAACATATTTTAGTGTGTAATTAAAACACCCTATCGGGCTACACTGATGATGAAATATAGATTCCGAAAATGTTTTGTAATTGTAATATAGTCCGAGTGGGAGTTTTAAGTATATATTTTATAAAGGATTTTAAATAAAAATTTTTTGCGATACATCGTATTAAGCCAGCTTCAGGAACAGTTTCCTAGTCTAGATTGTATTATTGTTGTGGGAATAATTAATTATTGGTACTAAGCACTGATTTTTATCGCTTTAATAATTTTAACTGCTAAACATATAATTATCTTTTTAAGCAAGGTAAAATCTTAATTTGTATGTATTCTATTTAACATATTTAATGATTCCTAATCATTGCTACTCAAATTATAACTTTCTATTACGTTTTAGCTTTTGAAATAAGCGAACTTCTGGTGGAACTAACTGACACTGATAAAAAGAACAGTTACGCCCAGTACTCATCCTTCTCAATAGGCAACGAAAAAGATGGCTACATACTGAATAACCTTAAAGGGTTTTCAGGTGATGCTGGGGATTCTCTATCAATTCATTTGAATCAAAAATTTACGACTCTTGATGTGGATCAGGATACAAATTCAGGAAATTGTGCACAACTGTTTGGTAAGAAATATTTTTTTATCATTTTTGCTAAAGCTTTAAGTTCTGTACATTTTAGAGGGTGCTTGGTGGTACGAGAATTGTCATCATAGCAATTTAAATGGGAAATTCATGACTATAGTGCTTCCTAAAACATATGATTATCATGGACTACGCTGGCGCACTGTGAAAGAAAAGGATAATTTGGCAGGGTCAAGAATGATGATACGACCAATTGGAGGATAAAATAAGTTTTTTTCAATACGCAATAAATTACAATCTTTCTTATTATACTATTATTATGTTTAAAACTAAACAGAATATATGTTATTATAAAAATATTTCTAACGAGAATTCACCTACGCAAAATTAAAATTGTTTTATTTTTGAGAAATACTTCCATAATATAAGAAAAAACATAAAATTTGAGTTAGCCTTTTTGGCACTTTTACATAAGCCAGGCGCTGGGTCGAAATATTTTGTAGCTCATTCTCTACTAGCAAGGTCATCAGCTCTTTTATTAACAGTGTGACACTGTTATGTTTCGCCAGTCTGTTAAGTTCTTCTTAATATTCTCACTAACTTTTTTTTAGTGCCATATTGCCAAACTCCAGTAAAACTCCAGTAAGAGATTTAAAAGGTCTTCATTGAATTCTAGCAAGCATTCTTCTTCTTCTTCCTTAACCTTAAGTATTTCAACATTGGACATAGGCCTCCTCCAGATCAATCCAATGGTGATTTTTTATTCACTTATGAATGTGTCTGAAATAAACTCCCAAATTATATAGATATTAGGCTAAAAATCAAAGTGATAATTTGCTTCCTAGAATATACATAAAACGTTTGGTCGCAGAACTAATTGACCATCACCTAAACCGTCGTTCCATGGTGGAAAATATCTCTCCAGCTATTCGCAACCGATGCCAAGAAGTAGTTGGAACCTTAAGTGAACTTCCAGGAGGTAACACCGAAAATTTGAATGTTAAAAAACGATGCAGTTTTTGCATTAAAGACTGTACGACTCTTACTTTTTGTCAAATGTTGAAAAAATTTATTTGTTTCATACATGCCCAGTTCCAGTGCCCTGATTGTGTATTGAACCTAAAAAATGTTTAAAAATGCAACTCATAGGATTAAGTTTGACAAATACATCTTATATTTTAATGTGTTGTGTCCTTAATAAAATAAAAAATAAATTGGTATAAACCCTTGTTTTATTTTTCCCAATTCATGAACATTCATCATTTATGAATTATTTTGGAATGTTATATTACTTATTGGCCCAAATGACATTTTACTCTTTAAATGATATTCATAAAGATGTAAAGCTAGATAATAAACAGTATTCTATTTTTTAAATTTAATTAAAAATCCTTTGTAAAAGGTATATTTTAGGCCCAAACGGGCTAAGTTAACAAGACAAAACGTTTTCGGAAACCATGTTCCATCATCAGTGTCTAGGAGTACATGAATGAAGCCACCAAGATTAAATATGTGGGTAAAAACCCGATTACATATGTTTAATTACATTAAGTTTTAAATTATTGTTGAAATGATATAAGATTACAGAGTTACCGATGGATTTGGTAACATGGCGACATATGACTCCACGTTGAAGTTGCTAGTCCTGAGACGGTATGTCTTCGAGGACTATATGAGTGCAACTGATTGGCAATGACATTTGATGACAATATTGTCATCAAATGTCATTGCCAATCAGTTGCACTCATATAGTCCTCGAAGACATACCGTCTCAGGACTAGCAACTTCAACGTGGAGTCATATGTCGCCATGTTAACAAATCCATCGGTAACTCTGTAATCTTATATCATTTCAACAATAATTTAAAACTAAATGTAATTAAACATATGTAATCGGGTTTTTACCCACATATTTAATCTTGGTGGCTTCATTCATGTACTCCTAGACACTGATGATGGAACATGGTTTCCGAAAACGTTTTGTCTTGTTAACTTAGCCCGTTTGGGCCTAAAATATACCTTTTACAAAGGATTTTTAATTAAATTTTTAATACATGGTATACAGCCAACTACAGGAACGTAGATTCCTTGTGGAGTATTCTATTGATTTTCTAATTAATAAATTATTGAGTTTTGGGTCTGTCAGACTTGACGCTACTAATGGTTTTGCGATATGGGGCGCCACCAGTGCAGGGTTAAACAGGCGATTCGCCTAGAGCAAAAAAGAAGAAGAGAAAAATAAAAAATACTGGGAAAACGTGGTCTTACCACTTGTTTAAATGTCTTATCATTCTTAAAAAGTTAAAAAAAAAAAAGTTAGCTACAAGATTAGAAATATTTGGACCCCATTAGTATCCTTCTACTAAGGCTAAGCTGTTGACTACTAGCGGGATAGTAGGTGACCTTCAGATATAAAGTTTAGTTTCAAATATATTGAATAAGCAATCTCCGACCAAGTAGCGACGATGCTGGAGGGTGGAGTGAATATACCTTAGGACAGTATACCTTATACAATACAATAGCCTAAGGAAATTATTATAACATGGCCAGTATAGCCGCCAATGAATAAGCATAGCCTAACTCCCTCTTAATTTACCGATTTACTGCCAGGATACACAGTCCCTCTCTTGTTGTTCAACATCTTCGAGTAAACTAAGAAAAGAATAAGAGCACCTATTGTGCCTGGAATAAGAAATTGTGCAAAAAGACAAATGAGCCGATAAACGGCCAATAACATGAAGGTATAGGATATAACGAAAAGCCACAAAGATTCCTAAGAATATTCAAAAAACAATTGTCATGTCAAGCAATATTGATGAAGTAACATTTACTGATCATGGATTTGGATCCCAAGATCCATTAGAGAGATCATAAGGCTTCCTATGATCTTTCTCTGCTGGAAAATTGCAAAAATCAGAAAACCTCTAAAATATCACTAGATGCACTCCAAGACCCAGGCACTTTAAATAAAGTTTTTCATAAAAAAAAACAAATAAATTAATAATAATAATAACAAAAAAAAATAAAATGCAAAATTTAATGGCAATATCGAAGAAGCAGGATAACACCCTAGCAAATCGAAATGATTGGAATTCTTTCAACCCAAACGAAAGACCACCTACCATCGAAAACGTTGCCCAAGCCATTAAAAAGCTTAAAAATAATAAATCACCAGGAGTTGATCAAATTTGCAGTGAGCTCTACAAGAATGGTGGCGATGCCCTATTACAGACACTGCATAAGCTTTAACTTCTTGTTTGGCATAATGAGACCATGCCCTGTGAATGGTCTCAAGGCGTAATATGCCCGTTACATAAAAAAGGTGACCAGCTCCAGTGTGAAAACTATAGAGGTATAACCCTGTTAACAACTGCTTACAAAATACTATCAAATATTCTCTACGAAAGGCTGCAAGCTTACACAGTGGGCATAGTTGGTAAATATCAAGCTGGATTCACTCCAGAAAAATCAACAATTGACCAGATTCATTTAATAAGACATATTCTCGAGAAAACATTAGAATTCAATATTGAAACCCATCACCTATTCGTCGACTTCAGGGCCACATACGACAGTGTCAAGAGAACAGCGCTATACCAATCAATGAATGAGTTTGGTATACCAGAGAAACTTATCCGACTAACGAGAATGACAATGTCTAACTTAGAAGCCACTGTTAGAATACAGGGAGAGAGTTCTAGATCCTTTGAGATAAAGGATGGACTCAGACAAGGGGATGCTCTGACTTGCCTCCTATTTAATATTGCCTTAGAAATGGCAATCCGAGATACACGAATTAAAGATGGCGGTACTATTTACAATAGATCGATACAAGTCCTAGCATATGCTGATGACCTTGACGTAGTAGGGCGTAGCAAGCGAGATGTTGAGCAATATCTCCTAGAATTGGAAACAGCGGCGAAACAGGTCGGTCTAGTCATCAATAAAGACAAAACCAAGTACATGTTGGTTACAAAGGATCCGATAGCAAATGAGGAACGAGAAACAGTCTTTGGAAGTCATACCTTTGGACGTGTTGACAACTTCACATACCTTGGGTCGCTATTGACTGCTACCAATAAAACAAGCGAAGAAATTAAAAGACGAATAAATCTTACAAATAGGGCATACTATGGACTCCAAAAGCATTTCCACTCAAGAAACATTCAAAGAAGAACTAAAATTATTATATACAAAACATTGCTGAGGCCGGTCCTCACATATGGAGCAAAAACATGGACTCAAACGCAGAAAGACGAAAGACTTTTTTGAATATTTGAGCGTAAAATCCTCCGCAAAATATTTGGAGCTGTAAACGACCAAGGGCAGTGGCGCAAAAGATATAATTTTGAATTGTATCAGCTCTTTGATGAGCCAGATATCATAACGTTAATTAAAACACAGCGACTTAGATGGGCTGGACACATAATACGAATGCCAGAAAATTCATTGCTAAAAAGCTAACCACAGGAACACCTATAGGAAAAAGAAGCAAAGGCTGACCGCGAATTAGGTGGTTAGATGGAGTGGAAACCGACTTACGAATATTAAAAATCAGAAGATGGCAACATGTTACCAAAAACCGAACAGAATGGCGACGAATCTTAGAGCAGACCAAGATCCACTAAGGATTGTCGAGCCAAAGATGATGATGATGATGGAGAAATTAGCAAGTTCCACGAAATTAGACTAGAAAAATACCAACAACATAAATGATAGCAAAAAACAAATAAAAACAATAATATTAACTGCATCTTGAGAAAATTTTTTAAGATAACGAACAATTAAAATGACTGTATGACACATGACATCTTAAATCCAATGTACGTTCAAAGGCAGAACAAATCCATAAACAGAGAACAATACAATGAAATACACAAAGAAATCCGAAAAATAATTATTAAAGTAGCAAAATACCGATGGCTACAAGAATCCCTATTAGAAATTTAGAATCTGGAGCTGCATCAAATTGGAACATTGCATAATGGAATTACTTAAAGATGACCAAAGAATCTACCAGTAAGTACAATCTAACCGAGCTACTGACCAACCTATTTTAATCTTAGAAGTTCAGAACACCATCGATAAAGCGAAACGAAGAAAAGATTCTGGTCTTGACAAGGTACCTGCAGAATTGTTGCAGCTATTAGATGATAAGAGTGTTGAAATTATCACCTCCTTCTTTAGAAAGATTGTTGCAGCTATTAGATGATAAGAGTGTTGAAATTATCACCTTCTTCTTTAGAAAGATATACAGTAGCGGTA